AAGAAAAAGATTGCAATTTGTAAAAGCTGTTTGAGATTTAGATGCCAAAAACATGTTTCCATCTCCGCAGCTCATTAATTGTAGGCTCCTCGATTTTTTCACACTATTCACAATCTATTGTTTGATTGTGTGTGGGTAATTGGGGAATTATCAAAAGGGTATACAAGAAAAAAATATATTATAATTTAGAAAAAAGGTATAAAATATGCTAAGTAATAATTGGGTAGATGAAAAAAATTACCTGGTAATTTTTAGGATTTAAAAAAATACCAAAAAAAATTAGAGTTGAAAATTTAAAAAAAAAAATGCAAAAAGAAACTACCTACTAATTATTAATTGAAAATAATGGCATAAAATAAAATAGCCAACCCTCACGAAATGTCGAAATCATTACGTGACGGGACCGTAGCATTTCCCATAAATAATATTAGGGCTTGCTTTTGTACATATCCAACACCAAGAAAGAACCTTTTTGCCTGCAATTGGTACAACAGTGTATAGGAAGCTTAATTTTATGTACAACACCAAACCTTTTTACCCACATTATTCATTTATTTAAAGGACACTATTCATTTATTTGAGGTCTTTAATAAACTACATAAAATTGAACAATATTGAGAGTTGAGACTACTTAGTACATGTACTATGTTGGCTGACGTGAACCAAAAGACTTTTTATTAATTTTGAAAATTACCCAAAAGGCATAAGAGAATTGTATTAAAAAATAAAAAAAAACATTTTATGTCATGACAGAGCTGGCAAAGGGCCAAATATCAATAAAAAAGAGAGATGTTTTTGTCAACGAACTTAAAAATTTATTATTAGACAAAAAGTGATATTTCATTATTTTATATGAACTATGCTGATGACATCCAAACCCTCTGTACATTAATTTTTCTTTATTGACTAATGGTTCTTATATGGTGGTTCTATTATGTGACTCAAGCTTATTTTCAATGTACCAATTTTAAAATTTTAGTTTATTTACTTATTATTATTATTTTATTCAGTCTTGTGATTTTAAGGAGCTTCTTGGAACTCTTATTTAAAAATAGATTAGTAACTTGCTCTCTAAAATATAGTTCATATAATAATTTTATCTATAATTAAGGGATAAACAAGATACCATTCAACTACATGGAATATTCTAAAAGTTTTTTTCGCCAAATATGTAATTTATGACGTGAACCTGGCCATTTTACGACGTCACATCAGATTTTTTAGAAATTTTTAATCACTTGTGATTTTTGTTTATGGAATTCACATTCAATGTAAATTTGGGCCCTCAACAAAGAAAATATGAAATACATGTAAATTATGTACACAGTGTTAACACTGTTTATAGTCTAACAGTCACGTACTCACGTTCATGTGATGACTCAACAGTACACTCTCTCACGTAAATAAAGCCCTTAACCCAACTGTTCCTATGAAACGACAAAATTAACGGACCCAAACAGCAAATATCTATCGGATATATAATTAAATCCTATTTAAATTCTCTATTTTTTATTTCTCAATTCATATATTGGAAAAAAGAATCGTATTATATGCTTTGACTTTCAGCTACGTGTAGGCATAATATTCCCTCCAACTTTACCCCTAGCTACCTATAATTTTCTTTTAAAAAAATACTAAAAAAATATTAATATTAGAATATTCACTTGTTAGTTGTCTCAACTTATAAAATTAATGGATTACAATTGTTTTTAGAATGAAATACACTTGGGTTTCATCTGGACTTTCCCTACTATGATGCGCTTCATTTTGCGTGGGACCGCACGTTTCTTACAAACTCCAATCAAAATTAATAATATTCCCGTTTTACCCATGTTTCTTACAAACTCCAATAAAAATTAATAATATTCTAGGAGATCAACATATTTTAATCGACATTAGAATCTTCCATGCCGTTAAATTTCTTTGGAATTCTAACTGAAATTTCACGATTCGAATAATTTTTTCAATGATTTATTATTATAGTAACTTTCTTAGGAATATGAGATTTATAATGGAATTACTTTTTTCGTCAGCCATTGAAAAAAACTTGAAATCATCAAAATCCAATAAAAATTTCTAATGAAAAATCAATTTCAATTGTAATTTGCTAACTGAATTTATACATTAATTGAAATTATCGTGAAACTTCTATTGAACTATACTTTCATTGAAATTTTCGCTAAAGTTTCATGATATTTAGTGAAATTTTACATATTGCTAAATTAGGTTTGTTAATGTCCCAAAACTGGCGACTTGGGTGTGCTTAGATGTAAGTTTTTGAGTGGATATTTTGTTTTGATTAATTTTTTCGGTTAACCAAAGTTAATTTTACAAAAGTCGATTGTGTTAGAATTCAGTGGAATTGAGTTTATATTAAAATAATATTTAAAATAAAATAATTAAAATTAATTTGATGTAAAAATAGAAGAATTATTAAATGTGATGAGAAGCTAAAAGATTTAATTACAAAATATAGCCAGTATCTTGTACGCAGTGACAATATTAGCCACCGTCTTTACGAATTGCAATATTAGCCAACAACTTTCAAATTTTTGGGGTTATTACCCATGTCCGACCAAATTCGATGGCTATTGTTCTCAGTGGTAAAAAATATTGACTATATTTTGCAATTTATCTGTCGAATTTGGTTGGATTTGAATAATAATCTCAAAATTTTGAAAGTTGTTGGCTAATATTGTCAATTCGTAAAGATGGTGACTACTATTGCCACCGTGTACAAAATATTGACTATATTTTATAATTTAGCCGTAGCTAAAATTATGTGTAAAGAAGGCGGAGAAAACTGTAATTCTATCCCTGGGGCATTTTCTGAAATTACATAATTAAATTAGAAAAAAAAAAAAACATTTTTTAATAAATTATTATTAATTTTACTTCCACGAGGTTGGATTTTATGGATGTGATAGTTTTCAATTATTTTAGAGAAGTGACAGCTATCTTTTTCACCAGGTCTAGGGCTTCTTCTGCTTATTTGCGGCCACCTGCTAAATAATACCATAGCCTGAAAAAAAAAAAAATTAATTACTAGTGCATTGTATTTGTAGTTTTGTAACTACTAATTAATTTGATTTTAAGTTCAAACATATTAATTTCATATTAATTTGCAAATTCCAATGTTCTAAATAAATATATATGCTTTTAATTAAGCATGGCTAGCTAGGTGTATTGAGTTATTTCGAGCCGAATTGAGAACTGAGATGAGTCGATTAATTAGTTCATGTTTCTTTAATAAACATTTTAACTCTGACTTATTTAATATGCCAAAAGTTCAGCTTGTTCGTTTAATAAATTGGCTCGATTCAAACTCGTTTAATAACAGAAAATCTTAAACGACGATCATGTTTGCGAACAAGTTAGGCTCAATTATTGCATTTAAAATTTATTAAAAAAAAAGAGTTGCAACAATCCAAACCAAGTTGTGTTCGCGAATATTTCAGTTCGTTAATTTATCAGTTCTAATCATATGTGTTTATTTCTTTAAAGAAAATACAATTCAATTTCAGTAGATTAAAGACCAGACTTATATATACACACATCAACTAAAGATGAAATTCTTAAATAATTTAGAGAAAAAATCATAGAGTATGGAATTAGCGTGTAAGTGGTCCACAAACTGGAATATGTCACCTAAATGAAAATTTTGAAAAAATATAAATATAAGAAAATTAAAGAAGTTCAAAAATAGAAGAGCACAAAGTCCAATTGCTAGCTAAAATTGCAATAACATAGCCAAAGGCAGTTGCAGAGTTGATGCAAGGACAAAAGGCTACATAAATGAAAAAAAAATATGTCTTCTTATTTCACTGACAACTACGTATCTCTGTGCGAGCCTCTGGAGAGAGAGATTGTGCTGTGCGAGAGGTCAAATCATATAATATATCTATGATTAAGTTAAATAAATATTACTCCACTTATTATTATTATTATTATTATTATTATATATGCTGCAATTTTCTTGTGATCAATATTATTTGAGACTTACTTTTACTCTTTCTANCTTTTGTTTCTTCTGGCTAGTGATTATTTGAATTGAACTGTTCGTGAATGCAACTCGTTTTGACTTGTAAAAAATTGTGTTCCATTTTATTAATTTCTTCACTCTAATACTTCATCGAAGTTGTTTATGAAATGAGTTTATCTTACGAACAACTCATCTTGTACGATTTTTCAAAGGAAACAGTTGGGCCAATTCTATTTTTTTTTGCAGATGGACATCTAATTTTCAAGAACTGGCATAAAATTTTAATTTTGTTAAATGAATCGAGCATAACAAAGCTGACTTGTTGATAAAGAACACGAAGTTACAATAAACTACTCGACTCGAATAACACCTTTCCCTCCACAAGCTAGGGATTTCGAAAATGTATAATTATCAGTAGTATATTCGTATTTCGGATAGGTATAAAAACTGTGGAGTATTACTATTAAATGTGACGTTATCCTTTTATAATTAGTTACAAATTTGTCGACTTTATTTCTTGAATATATTATATTATTAACAAAATCTTGGTCCAATAATAAGGTCCTTCGCATTAAAGAAAAAAGGTCTCTTAGCATTATCCGATTGCATGAAAGACTAGCATTACATAGAATTAACATTAGATAAAATAATTATTCTCCCCTTCTATTTATTTTTTATATGCTTGTAAGTAATTGATGTATGATCCAATTCCGAGTTTTAGATAATAGAAAATGGTCTAATTCCAAGTTTTAGATATAATATAAACTAGTAATCAATATGTGCATTTGCACAGACAATAATATTTTAAAAAGATAACAATATAAGAAAAAACAAAAATAAATCTTAATTTAATTCATGAAAAAAAATATGAATTAAGAAAATAATTCTGAAAATTGATTTTGATCAAGTAATTGCTATGGAAGAGCCGTTATAACCATTTTCTCTATGTTTATTTTAATGAGTGGGTGTGACTTAAATTTTGAGTACAATTTTGTAACTCCCTTAATTGATTTATGCTCATAACTTAAAAATGAAATTAAATGTTGAAAACTTTGGAGGGAGAATAAAATTTAATGCTCGTACAAGAAGACCGCTTGAAAGACCTCTGTGAGGGAAGAGAAAAATGAGACTACTAAAGAGTAGAGGAGTCGAATCTCTTAGAGTAGAGCAGGAGCAGCAGTTGATTCCTTCCCTTTGCCTCTTAGGAGCCACCCTTCCGGGGAGTATGGCTAACTCGGGGGCTTATTGAACCAGAAAGTCATGACCGAACAGCTTCTCGTTTTCCACGGTTTGTATTTCTTGTTGAATGGAAAAAAGTCTTCCAGCGATATCCATGGCTAAAGCTCTTTCTTGCCGACTTCTAAGTCACCGTCTCCCATGATAATATAATTTAATGCTTTGTTTCTCCTCTTTATATATATATATATATATATATATATATATATATATATAGAGAGGAGAGTTCTAATAAGAACCATCTCTAGTATAAGAACTAGGAACCAATCCTAGCCTTCAAATATATAATTATTAACGTTTGAGATGTTGTATATTAGGAAGTTAACTAAAGCTAACTGTTGAGTTAATGTGCGGACAAACTAGGAAAAGGAAAGTGATATTAGTTGGAAATCTCCTCTTTTATTGAACCCAGATTTTATGGAAATTTAATTGTCNAACAAACTATAATTTCCTTTCGATGAATGCGACCATTATATTTTTGCAAGTGGACATGGGTTAAAATAAAATCGAAATTTTTTAGCAAAAAATTTGGTGATTTAACATGTAAAATTTGTGCCAAAATGATCACTAGCTAATTCCTAATAACAATAGTCCTATATCAGGACAAACTAAAGGTTATATGCAATAACTTATAATTGGAATAATTATTATTCTTCAATTACTACCAACCAAATTACTGAATCCATAAACCATTAAATTTCACTTCATTGAAAAAAAGTTATATTTTCAATACAAATTGTTCCCATGTACATGTACTTTCAAGTTTGATGGGCTACGCTGAAAAACTTTGTGGTCCTATATTTATTTAATAGGGAATCAAAGAATTGGAATTGGAGATGAGGCAATTTATGTACCTTTGGGCAATACAAATGTATGCAATAAATGCGTGGTTTCAGATTTTGTCGAGTTCCTGCTTTTCTTGGATCCACAAGAAAATAAATAAAATTAAATCAAAAGAGTCACCAGCTATATCTTTGCTTTATTGATATTATAAATTGTGTGTAGCTTTGTTGATGCTACAGCTACACCTATTTTGTAGATATATGCTTGCTACTAAATAATGGTGAAATTGCTCCTTTCTTTTTCTTTTTTCTTTTTTTTTTTTNTAACAGTGTTGACGACTTAAACTCATATTTTAATAAGTTGAACTCGAGTTTTTATAAATTAATATATAAAAATTATATAAAAAAGTCATATTTATGGTAATTGGTCGCACATCCCGACTCAAACATAATCCATCGGACCAATGCTCAGTCGCACTAGCTTAAAAACCGCTCGGTCAATCATTTTAGAGGCTCAAACCCAATCCATAAATTAAAATATTACTTTATATTTTGTGCTCGGTCAATCGAGTTTTTCTAATGGAATTCACGATACTTTGAGTCCAATATTCAAGAAAAATTACACGTCATGTAGGAAATAGACTCGGTTTTAAAAACGATGTTCTCTAATGCAAGTAAATGAAATGGGTTCTGCTGATGTGGTAGTAAGAAAAAACACTCGATCTATCTTAAGTTTATTTCACACCGAAGTAGAGACTCGGTCTATTTCAATTGAAACTAATTTTGTTACTTTTATTTAATTTTATTTATGTTACCTAAGACTTAATTAGATCCTTTTATACATCATGTAAGCAAAAATTAGACTCAAGTCATTATAGATGTTCTAATTACTACTAATTACTATTATATTATTTTCATATAACATCAATATTTAATTTTAATTATTACATTTCTATTTTTATCATTAATCACAAACAATGNAAGAAAAAAAAAAAAAAAATTTTACAAGGTAATTATGAGGAGGTGTGTGTATCCTTATAGAGGAATCAACATACAACCCCCAATAAAGTAAAAATAAAATTTGGACAGCCTAATTATACATTAGAATGCAGTTAATAATCGGGGTATCTGATGAAGAGGCCTAGAGGACTTGACTTCCAACTTCAAAAGGTAAATAATAGGAATTGCAGAGGATAGGTGCCCGCCATTTAAGGCTTTTACATTCATAAAACTTTTCACACCAACATTTTTTTTTTTCAAAAGATATAAATATATTACTAAAAGAAAAGTTACAAACTATATTACAACTAAATCAACTTAATTAACTAGCTAAACAAGTTGAATCGATGAGAATTGTACTAAATTAACCAACTAAATGAGCTGAATCTAGGAGTTAGGACTTTACACACAGACAACCTAAATCCGGACCTAAACACAAATAATAAATAAAACAAAACAATTATGAAAATAAAATTTATTATTATTATTATAAAAAAGAAATTTGGGATGGTGAAAAGACAAGAAAGCCCTTCTTTAACTGTGAAAACAACAGGTGAGCGAGTGAAGGCTAATCAGCCCATGCACACGTCCTTTTCTCACTCCTCTCCCCCACCTCTGCCGCGTCTGCCACCACTTTCTCTCTCACACACTACACGCACTACCTTACAAACTCCATCGGGAATGCCAACCATATAACTGTGCTTTTTTATTTATGTTGGTCAATGACATTTAACTCCTCAATCAAATAGTACTACATATTGAATTTGATGGTAAAATGGTAAAATATACCTCTAAGTAATTCAGGTCAAATATACATTTACCAAATATTTTTTCTTTTAAATTGTAGGACAAAATGTACACTAACTAATAAAAATCGAATACAATATTGCCGAGAATTGCATTATTAATTACACGATAATTAATTACAGAAAATTCGAGAATATATGCGCTATCGCATGTGTTTCGAACAGATATTTGCGACTTGATTAGTTAGTGACATTTGGCTCCTTAATCAAATAGTATTAAAATATATATATATATATATATATATATTAAATCCATGATAAAACTGTTATATGCAACTTATAACATATTTTTTCCATTAGTTTTTTTACAACTCTAGAAAAAATTTACTAACATATGTTCACTGTGTTTGTGGAGAATATTAAATATTAAATAGTTATAAAATATGTTCACTAATTGACATCATGGTTATTTTTTTGATAACATTCATTGTGGTAATCATTCAAAAAATATGCAACTTTAGACTTGATTTTTTGAGAGTACTGATTAAGAAAAAAAATGTTTTTTAGTTATTTATTTATTTTTTATTTGTGATGAGTTGTGACACATAACGGAACTGATAGAGTATTTTGTTATTTATTGAACATGTGCGATGCATCATGCATGTATTGGGATGGTGAGAATGGACAAGAACATTTTTAATGAGAGCCAAACTTAATTAACTCCCACAGCATATTTTCTAATGCATTGGAACTTTAATTTTAACACTGTATCATCTAATAGGAGCTGACTACAAGTTAGTCACAATTGGCTGTGCCCACAAAAATTGTTCATCTCATTTGATATTTGCAAAAATCTTCTGTGGTATTATATATATATATATATATATATATATAGAATGTGGTTCAAATGAAAACCAAGTCCTAGTGTGAGAACCGCTATTTTTAATTGTATGTAGTGCTATGATTGATTGTATTTTAGTGCTATTTTTAATCAGGATGCATTTTATTAAAAATAGCAGCACAATTTATTTTAGCATTTGTAACAATGATAGCACCATGTAAGATTAAAAATAACATTATACACAATTGAAAGTAACATCAAATATGATTCTCACGGTTCTCACACCAGGATTAGTTTTTAGTTGAACCAATCCATATATATATATATATATATATAAGTTGTGGTTCAAATGAGAACCAAGTCATATATATATAAGATGTGGTTCAAATGAGAATCAAGTCCTAACGTGAGAACCGCTATTTATATTTATACGAAGTGCTATGATTGATTGTGTGATAACATCATGTAATAGTAAAATAGCATCATACACAATTAAAAATAGCATTAATGAACCAATCCCATATATATATATATATATATATATATATATAGCAATAACATTGACATACCACATCTTAACTCAATTTTTGTGATATATAGGACATTGATTCTTACATTTTAGGTTTAAATAAAAATAATTAAAACCTATCAAGTCTTAAGTTTTTCTTTATGCGGACAAGCGTGGTGAAATTTTCTATTTCATCACTTTCATATTTCCTTTTGCGGTTCATTTCATTTGATGATCATCGAATCACGCTTGCTATCGATAATGCTGTATTGATTATACATGCTCATTCATCTAATCTAGCAGAATTGAATATGAAATCGAATCAGTCGATCCGATTATTAATTAGGAATAATAGCACGTTATGCCACACCATTTTTGCAAATTGCACAAACATCAAGACTTTTCTGGAATTTGTATACAATTTTGCAAAAAATTCAAAAACCACCGGACGCTTATGTCTTTGTATTTGTTTTGCAAAATTTCTAAAATATGTGTATAATTATGCAATGAAATGAAAGGTCGTGTATTATGAGAAAAAAGTGAATAAGTCGTGATGTTTGTACAATTCATTAAAAAAAAAAAGGTCA